AATAGAATAACATATACAAGTTCAAAACTAAATAAAATGCAGCTAGTCATTACGTGAAAAGTGGTAGCATTACCATGCCATCAGCAGAACTGACTTCACCCATTAACTGAATGAAATAATACTTGCAGGAAAGTGCCCCAGATGATCTTTTGATTCTGCACCTGTTTTATTTAACTGCTCAACTGTTTAGCTGGAAACAAAAATTTAGAAATTGATCATATATTTGAGCACTGCCAGCTGTATCAAGCACCTTGATGAAATATATTTGTGTGTCATTAAAAAGTAGAAACTTAGTTCTCATATTATAAAGCACAATGTTCAGCATGTTGGAATACTTGCACCATAAATTGTACAAAGTAATAACGAGACAAAACATAGCCAGATATATGAGAATGAAACTCAGCTCTAACTTCTTTTTCACATCACTAGTGGTTGACAATATATTTGTGAAATACTTTGCAAAACCGGTAAGCTTGTAACATTATGATGCACAGCAGCACACCATTTTACTTAGCACATTATGTAGCAGGCCGTTTTCAAGCAGTAGTATATAATATTGAAAATGGACACTTTTTTTTTTTTTAAATACAGAAGAGAAACACTTTTGTTTCCCTGCTGATAAAACTTAACCTTTAGTTCACCAACATCTAGAGACCCAGGAATTGCCACACAACCAGGTCTGTCTGCATTATACAAGAAAAAATAGGTTTAAGTGAATACAAAAATCAATCATCTTTTAAGTGTTGGACCTCCACAGCCCCAAGTATCATATCAAGTATACTCTTATGAAGAGATTTATTACTGCAAAAATAAAGAGCAAAGCAAGAGAAAAGCAAGTTCCTTGCAGAAAGTATATCAAAAGACAAGCACAGCACAGGACAACCTCAAGCGTTATTAGAATTGCTCCTGTTTTAATGATCTAAGATCTCATTTACAGGAAGAAAGCTGGAATCGATTTTGAAAACCACAAACAAATTTTAATAATGCTGTCCAGTGAAAGCTCTGCAATACCAAAACACAGATCAATCTGTGACCTTGAAAGCTGGCAGAACTGAAGCTTGCTTCTGAGAAGTTTTTTTTAAATAAAAGCACTCACAAGCATCTATGCGTTCATTAATTCCAAGATGATGATTCACAATGACACTGATTAAGGAAGAAAGTCTTATTACAGCTTCCAAATCAAGTCTCCTAGTTGCATCAAGGGGAAACAAAGTGACATGCCTGTTACCTTTGGATTAGGAGAGAGAAAGGGGGATTGTTTGGGTGAAAGACATAAGAAAAATTTATCCAAAGCATTAGGTGCAAAACAGCTTTCAGATTGCTGTAATGAAATTTTTGAATGGGTGATGTTCTTAGCAAACAACGCCTGCTCTATTTCGATTGAGCCATTTAATTTTACTCTACCACTGGGGGAGATGATAAAAAAGGTTAAAGTATGAACAGCCTCAAAGACAAATTACAAATATAAACTAATCTGACAAACAATATAATTTTAATATTTTTCTATTAAGCTTACCTGTCAAGTTTTGTATGCCAACAACATTTGAAAACTTACTACTGCAAGATTTGTTTCCACTGAAAGCAACAAATTTAAGTATTGAATAATGATGAGTCAACAGCAGTCTAAAAAAACACGTGAATTGTATAGCGAGAAACTGATCCTTTATCATAAACTGTTCTCCCACGTAAGCCTGGGCCCTGGAGCCATAAATCTTAATTCTCCTCCTGCTGTAGCTAGTTACCTCCCACTCTACAGAGAGCTACGGTCAAATATTATGCAGCACATGCTGACAGATTTCACAATTTTGAGCTACTTAATTAATCACTTAACTCCTGTGAATATCTTATGTCAAAAGGTAAGCAGTGGGGGGAAAAAAAAATACAATACACAGATTTCTTCTCATCTCAAGTTGAGAAAGAAATTTTTCAACAGAAAGTAAACTGGGGCCTTGCTTATTACTTAAGGAGAAAGTTTGTGTTAGCCAAGTTGGGTCTCCAGGCCTTTTCCTGTCCTAGAATTGCTTGGTAAATGCCTCCCCCTTCCCCCCGCCCCAAATCTTCTTGGCTATGGTACAAACACCTATAAAACTCTACAGGAAGGTGAGGAAATTTCAAGGTAAAAGCTTAGGGTGTTGTTTGACAACAGACATTTCAACCATCTAGAATCATCCAAGAAATTTTAGCTTCGAGGAGATTCATATAGCAGCAAAGAAAACCCCCACGTAACTAAACAAACAAACAAAAAAAAAAAACAAGAGAAAGTGCTCACAAAAACAATTATATGCTTCCAGGAAAAGAACAGGACTAAAGAAACACATGGCGACAAACTGTGCTAATATATGAAGAATGATCAGGTACCAAAGTTTAAAATATTTTCCAGTAACAGTTCTCATGGTACCCTTAGTAATTCCCAAATGACTAACATTTTTCCAAGCAACCCATGGAATAAAGTTAGACATAACACGTAAGTAGTTACCTTCATATAGAGTACTTCATTGGTAATACTGCTAACAGGAATTTTAAGAAAAACTCCAGCAGAAAACATAAACCTCTAGAGCCAATCCTTGTTCTGAACTATAATATCCCCCAAAAAATCTACTAAACCTGATGAATATAAGTTTGCCTGATCAGTAAAAGTATCCTGCTTCAAAAATATTCTGGTAGTTTTAAATTAGTTTTATTTTAAACAGGTAATTCTCAGATCCAACTTTTAAATTCTTCCCTCTCGTTCCAGCACATCTGAGGAAATCAGTTCCTGAACAACTGCATTAAACATACTATTTAATAACACAAAGCTTAAAGGGCTCTTCGGAACAATTGTTCTGCAGATGCAAATAATCTTTTCAGTATGTATTTCCATCATGAATTATCACTGGAGCCCTAAGTATTTTTGTACATACAGGTTCATTTAAAGCAATTTAAAGTATCCACCGCAACGAGGGTTCGGTTGTGAACCTTTACAGGAGTTTCTACTGTTTAAATGTCAGGAGACCGAGAATTTCTGAGAAGCAAGCATGATTTCAGGAGGTAATCCTGAATAATACTGAACACCAAAGGAAACGCCATACTCCACAGAAATACAAGCGGCCAAGACCACGGGCTTCAAATTTACTTGAAAGAAAGCATCACCACTGGCGAAACAGGTAGCTCAAACACTACCTCCAGCATTGTACAGAGTTTGGTCCCACTAACTCCAGCACATCTGCCAAGCAGCAGCATGAAGAGCTGTAAAGTTGCGCTGCTACCACAGTAACCACCATGATTCGGGGGCTTAGATTCTCCCGTCCAGTACTTGCATTGATGCCTTCAATCAATAAATTATTAAGCCTTGATCAACAGTAAAGGCCAAGCATAAAAAGAGCTGTTACGGAGCCTTGGTACTACCCATACCTTATGTATGCTGCAAACTGCACTAAAATTGTATCTAGACTATTCTGGTTTCTCTAGTCGTTTTGCTATGTAACTATACGGGATCTTTTTCCTTTGATTTCATTGCCAATGCTAACACCTTTTCTGCACATGAGTCTGTGTTCCCCCTAAACCAAGTATTTGGAGAAACATGAATGAAACTCATCTTTTGAAACAAACATTATTGTATATTTTCACATGGCTAAGCTCCCAGTAGCTAAATAAATTTAATTTATTTCAATATAATGCAGAGTCCCTTGAACTACAACTGTGCCTGGACTCCTCTATGAAAGGAGAAAGGAAAATTTGGGGTTCTTGCCAAGGTGGTTCTATTTTAGGTCGTTGCAGTCTAGGCCATTTCGTATCTAGAAATGGCAGTTTCTAGATAAGAAGCCTGAACTTTTCTTATCTCTACTAGTGTTCTCAGAAAGGACCAATGAAGGTTAGTTAAGGAGAGAGAGTAAAATAGAGTCACAAAATTAAGTCACTTAAGTTTCTGAGCTCAGACTACAATATAATAGAAATAAGTTTTATTCCAAAATATATTAGGGTACACATTCCCCATTACCACTTTTTTTTTTTTTTTTAAAGCTGCAAGCCTATAGAAGCCAGGGAACATATTTGTATAGAAAAAGGAATAAAGCAGAATAAATATTTGCAAAAATGATGGACCCAGAGCAATTTCTGCAGTGACATATTTTTCAAAAAGCCATTCTCCTACAAATGTGTTTGCATTTCCATTATTTTGTAGAAAGATACATCTTCACACTTACAATTAGCAAAAAAAAAAAAAACCAAAAAAAACTTGCTTCAAAATTCCTCTCAAATCAAGTACCGTCAATTTTGTTTTCTACAGAACTGCTGCTTTGTAAACGTTTTAATGTCAAGTTCTAGCATAACAGCAAAATCAAGAATTGTGAAGTACAGCAATGTTAGCATGTAAATTTACCTTTTTAAAAACAAATTACGTTTCACGCCACAAGTATCACTGAAAGTTAACTGAAGGGAGCTTCAGAGCGCAAGCGTGAGTCTTTCGTGAAAATAAGCATTTTCATAAGATCAAGACTCCTTAAAATTGTACTCATAAATCTCCTAGAGAGGAAGTAAAAGAGTCACATTGGACAGGAATAAAACATATTTATCAAAGGCACTGGGAGTTTTAAAGTCTTAAAATCTGCCTGGACATCTGATACAAAAGAGATCAGATTAAAGGCATCTGAGAATTCAGAGTACTGCAGTGTGGAAGTAATTACATCTACATTTAGTTCTAGAAATAAGTAAACAAAGAGGAAGTTAGCTTGAGATATTAAGGTTACATCTCTGCGGGGAGGAAGATGGGCTTGAAAACGCCCAAATGCAGGTTTCCAGAAAAGCAAAAAAAGAAAGTTTCAAATCACTTTATGACAGAACAGGCAAGCAGAACATTTCACATATTTAGTTTGTGGTTTCTAAAATTACTCTGAGCTCCAAACTGAAGCTCTCTGTGTGCCCCTCTTCGGGCATGTGCCTAAAGTTCAACCTGTGCTGCCAGATTACAAACTAAGCTCCATGGTGTGTGAAACTGATTCAGGCCCTTAAAGATGTCAACTGCGTAGTTTTTACATATTTTTATTTGACAGCAATGAAAAGAAAAAAGGACAGTAAGAGCATACACAAATTATGTACATGGTTACCAGACTAGAAACAATTCCAACACAAGTTACAGAAGACACAAAATAAAATTTAAAACATCACCAAGTAATCTCATGAACAATTAGGCTCCCCCTCCTCCATTAAAAAGTTCAGTTCATTCAAACCGGTAGTCTGAACGCTGTCACCTCAGAGGAACAGCAGCGTGAGATCTCCTTCCCTCTTGGATGCTACATACAATACAGACCAGCTCACCAGCGACTGGGGCTAGTATCATGCAGCTTCTGCTCAGTAGCCAACGCCAAGAGCAAATTCACTTGACTTTTACTGATAGAAACGCACATCATAAAACCCAATACGATTTGCACAAATTGAGCACTTTGTTCAGCAGAGAAGGCAAGCATGAAACGGCTAGCAGGTCTCTCACCTAAGGACAGCCCTTGCTAAATAAACCGCTGAAAGTACTAACAAACAGTGCACCATGAGGAAATTTGCACTGCCACTGCCCATCTTATAATATGATTTGTAAACAAGAGGGTATGAATTTTAAGGACTGTCAGTCTGGCACCTTTCAGCAGTATTCAGCTCAAAGGAAAAAAAATTTAATAAAGCATTTGATACGAGCTTGAAAACATCTGAATTATCACAATCAAATAAATCAATCCTACTGACACTACAAAAAATTTAATTAACAAACAAGTTTTATCTATGCCAATTTCTGAGACCTTTTAAGGCATAATACTGCATGTGAAGTATATGAACTCTAAATTTTCCTAGCTATTTTTAATTAGAAAGTTACTTTAGTTACATAAACCTTCATTTTTTAATTAACATCAACAGCTTGGGTCCTGATCCTGAAAGCAGATCCACTTAAGTGAGATTACTCTCCTAAGCAGTTACTTGTGCAAGTATTTCCAAGATTCAGCCCTGAAGTCACCACATAATGACTGTATTCCTCATTTGTGAATAAATTCATCTTTGCATTCAGTAATACACCATTTTGTCATCTGCCATCACGTTTTCTTAACTTCTGCTAAAACATGCTTAGATATATAACTCACCGGTAAGTGAATATGTCAAGAACAGGAGATGTAGAGCCATTAGAAACTACTGCATCTGTGCAGCAACCAAGGAAACATGCATACTAACTGAACATCTCACAATCAGACGTGGCTGTTGTCAAGAGAGAAATGTAACTAAAAATAAACATTTAGGCAGTTTTCTACAAAATGATTTATATCTGTCAAGACCACTTTGCACTCTACAGCACCTAGCATGTAAGGATCTAAAAGTGCTTATTAAGGGCAAGGGGATAAAATGTCTTCTATATCTACGAGGTCAAGATTTCACCCTAAACACTTAAGTTTGGGTTGAGGTGAATAGAATAGGAGATTGCACTACAGCGAGAAACGATCACTTTGTTCACTTTTTTTTTTTTTTTTTGAGAAAGCGACAGCTGTTTCAGAGCAAACCAATTCTGCACACCACTGAGGACAATGAAAATTACGTTACGTAGTTAGAGCATCAGTGTAGCTTATACAGCCAAAAAGTAGCTTGAGTTTTGCAATACCACTAGAACGAATAGCCATATTCCTTAAACTTTTATGTCTAGGAATCTGCTTTAAACATCACCCAAGAGGTAGCACAAACTGCAGAAGGATAAAGACCTTCTCGGTACAATTCTAGATCATCACAGTCAAGTACAGAGGCACGGACTGTGAACCTGAGTTGTAAAACAACACTTGTGTAAGCCTTTCAATATTTTTTGAATAATTATTAGGAAGTGCTGACTCTGAAAGACCCTTTTTAGTCTTAAAGCAAAATCTAGAAGAAACAGGGAGCAGAAATATGTATAAGATTTGGAGAGGCTTCAGTATCTATTAGTATTAAACTACACAGGGCATTAATAATTATATTTAAGACAGATACACCAGAAAATGCACACCAGAAGAAAAAGCTAAACTATTCCGTTTACACTAAGACACACAAAGCGGTTGTAAATTCTCAGGAAGAATCAAGGAGCAAGCATCTCTTGCTCAGATTGTTTCTGTTAATCACTAAGCACAACAGATACAACGCATTTTCACTGAAAACATTTTTTTCTAATTACTGTGTCCTGTAACTCAAGACAAACAGGTTGCGATAACATTAGCAGGCCATACATCCAAAATCCATAACAAAGAAACACATTTTTGTATCATAAAAAGTTTTCAATTCACTGCCCCAAAATACTGAGAGAGTTGCAACAGATTCCAGTCAAAGCCAGAAGTGACCAAAAAAGAGAACAGAATCCGTAGTTAAACCAGTCAGATCAAAAAATGTATCCACCCTCATTTTTCAGGCATACCCATGGGAAAACTCTCTTCTACTCATAGGTCTGTTGCTGTTGGTTCCTAAGACAATTTTCAGATATCCCTGTGTAGGAACATGGCATGAGGACAATGAGTGAGGTACAATTTACAGCAGACCCGAGATTTCTATTAAAACACAGGATGTCTAGACAAGGCTGGAGAGAGAGAGTAAAGTTACTTCTTGCTCACACTCAGCAAAATTCCCAAGGACAGACCTTGAAAAATGGAAAGAAAAATGCATTTCTTGTGCTCTCTCTTCCTTTTCTGAACTGCTTGGTCATGCTCAGGGTTGTTGGAAATAGCTGCCATTTCAGGGGACTCGACTCTTCAAAGTACTAGAGCAGTTCCGTTAGTCCTGAAAGCCCAGTCAGTTGTTTTGGTGGAAAAAGTAGTGAAATGACTAACAATACAATATAATATCCTCTGCAGTATCTTCACTTCTCATTTATTGGTTTCCATGCTTAACATTCACTTAGTGTTCAATATCCCTGCATCCTTTCCATTCCTCCTCCTCTTTTTGTAAGGAGATGGTCAAAAAGAAGCACCAGGTGAGATTTTATTACTTCAAAAATATGACTTCTAACAAAAGCTAAACTTAAGCTTCTTAAACAAATGATCTTATTCTTTGGAACATTTTAGGTAAAGTTCCAGGAAAAACTGACCACACAACCAGAAAAATCATGAATTTCATGTTTCATCATGAACTTCCATTTCTAAGTAAGTTTTCCTCTATTATTTGTAGAAAGCTTGAATTCAAAGAACAGTAGGAAGTTGTGGTGAGGGCAGAAGTTAACTGACTAAATTTTAGTAGATGAGACTTTTAACTGATGTTTCAAGGCAAACCTATTACACTGATTTCTCCACAGCAGCATAGCTGTATCACTTGAATAGCAATTTGCCTACTCTGCAGCAGCGTCTGCAGTCATGGGAAATGCTCTGGAGGATATGCAAGGTACACCTTCCCTGTGCCATGTAAAGATCTCCTCGCTAGGGTTAAACAAGTGTGGCTGGGAAACAGAACAGGACGGTCTCATCAGCATGATCCCTCCTCCAGCCTGCTGACAGAAGGGGCTAAGGAGGGCACTGCTTACCAGCTAACAAGTCAGAAAGCCGTCAGCAGTCACTCTGGTATCTCTGTCTCCAGATAGTGCTGCAGCAGTCTGCATAGATGCATATGAGACGGTGCCCAAACAACTGGGTACTCCAACACCACTTAAGCAAGCAGTGTAGAGAAACCTCAAGCCCCACAAATGCCTGAACTATTCATGTACAAATTCTTGAACTGACCGCAACAGATGAGCGTAAGGGTTTGCAGGATAAGGACTTCAGCTTCTCAGAAATGGGGATATAAGAAACTTATTGCTCAAAACTCTCTGAAACCCTTTGATGAAATGTGCTATGTAAGTGCAAAGTACTATCATTAAAAAGATCTAGAAATTTCTCAGCTTTTCCCTGTTTACCTAACAGACCAGTTCTTTACAAAAATAAATATTCAGGAGGACAAAAGGGATAGTTCCTCCACAGTTCAAGCAAATAGGTTTCATTTTTCCTTGTTAAAATCTGCAGTATCTTTCAAAAAAATATCAAAACACCTAAGAGAAATTGAGGGTGCAGAGCTGCTTACAACTCATGTACCTTTATTCCCGTGGCTAGGATATCACCAGAACTTCTAACCTCATAAATTCTTCTGAAGAGCCATAAGATCAGAAACATTTTTTGGTAGAGACTTAGTGAAGTACAGTTTCCTAACACTCAACAGCAATGCTTACAACAAATTTCAGAGGATGTTAATTATTTAGGTTTTTCCTCTTTGATTTTTTTTTTTTTTAATCTGGCATCATCTATCTTTTCTTTTCCCTCCCACACATCCAGTTTCAGATATTTAGACCAATGACACTTTCCAAAAGCTGGTGTACAACATCTTTATATACACTACAAATTCAAATTACCAGACTATTGTTAGACATTGAATATATAAATAACTTTGCAAACTATTTACAGGTTTTATACTAATCAGGTTCCAAGTGACCAACATTCTTAAGGCAAATTCATTTGTATGACTGGCTGTCTGGCCTCTCAGCATTTCTTTCCCTTCCCCTCATCCCCACCCCAAAAAACAACAGGCAATGAACATGAAATTTAATCCCCCCTCCCATATTGATGAGAATTCTTGAAAGCACGGAGAGATGATCAAACTGCTTATGATCTTTCCTCAGGACAAGGAAAAATGTTTACAAATGCATAATTAACGTGATTTATCATTTGGCATTCTTGTGCAAGTCAAGAAATTCATTAAGGTGCATACCAAGAAGTGAAAGTCACAATGCCTTTAAGAACATAATTTTTGTATGCACTTGACAAATGGATCTGGAAATTTGGGGAAAGCATCAGTTTAAAGCTGCACAACCCTTTTTAGAACTATGCATTTATAAGCTCATTAAGTATAAGATCAGAAGAGCTCAAAGGGATTTTCCGTAAGAGGTGACACTGTGCAATATCAAATGCAGCAAAGAGTGCATTTTCTAAGCATATGTTTAACTACACTAGAATTTTTCTCTTATGCCATATTGCTGTGTAAGATAGTTTTCATCATTAAAAGGGATTCTGCACATCTTGCCAATTCTTATACTGTAATAAAAATCGGCCATTTCAAATATAACATTGTAATCTTCAGTGCAATCACTGTGCAGTCCCTTCTGTCAACACATGACTGAACCAGCCAAGCATATTCTGGTAAAGCAGACAGAATTCACATACCAAACGCGCTTAGTGCCTTCCTTTAAGTCCCAATCATCACTTTGTTCTTACTATTTTTCAAAGAACTGATTAGGTCTTTGTTTGGAAGTAATTGGCTACTGTGGTTTGAAGGATTTTGGAACAAAGCAGAGACTTTATACTGAACGCAGAGGTCATCTCCAGGAGAGACAAAGGGTGCGAAATTATCGATTAGCTTTGTATTTAGAAGCATCCCTCGGTTCACTGCTAGGATTGCTCCAGTCATCTGCTTCAGGTGTGGTCTTGTAGTGTCGCCATGCTGACTTATTAAAAACAGGAAGTCTTTCAAATGATTCACTTGAAAGGGCCTGTGAAAAAGAGAAAAGCAATGGTAAGATATCATTTAGAAATACCAGCAGCACAAACATACTCTAGGGAGTTTTCGCGTTCTGACTTCTGTATTGAACAAATGCCTCAATTATCCAGGCGTTACATATCACAACACTGTTTTGAAAATACCTTGTCTATGTCCAGTCATTCCTAAAGAATTATAGTATAGTACAAGTTAAAATAAAATAACTTCTTAGAATATTTCCCTTGTTTCCAGGAAACGATGTCTACAAAGACATTAAGAAAAAAAAGTTTTGATCAAAAGTATTTTGGGGAGATTTGTCATCAATATAGGGCAGACAGCTATTTTACTTAGACAATCCAATGAACTTACCCAATAAACTTAGACTCCCTTAGACTATGTCAGAACACTAACACGTGGGGAAAGGGTTTAGATCGCTGGCATGCCTTTTCTCTCTGAGAAAGGCCATACCCAAGTTTTCCTCCACATATTCACACTTAGGATTAAACTCATCAGAAACGGAAGTTAGTGCAGGACTGCACAGCTTGCTCACTATACAGTGAGGCATACTGATAACACAAAGTCAACAGCCTGTGCATGAGCTATGTATTTTTAAATTCCCTTGTGTAGTTCAAGCAGCTAGTTTTAAACTTAAACTTCTGAATAGCCGAGGATCTCCTGAGAAACAACAGCAGGATCAATTATCTACTGCACAGAGATCAAGAACTGCATAGAAAAAAAAATGTATTAGTCAGGAGTTATTCAATAGTCTTCTTTCAGTTTTGTTGTGGTGAAAGCTAGCAGAACCAAAAAGTATTAACTAAAATTCTCTCTCATCACACAAATATTCTTTGAAATTTCAGCACTTATGATGGATCAACAAAATGCAAAGATCCAACACTGGGGAATGAAAACACATTGGAAACTAATTAATATTAGCGCTGAGGTTAACATTTATAACCTGTTCTAAGGATTCTGCATATCTGATTTCAATACAATATAACAAAGATAACAATTACAAATTTGAAAACAAATTCAAGAGTGAAAAGAGAAAAAAAATCTAATTAGCAGAACACTTGCCTCTATAAACCACCAAATTACACAGAATTATTAGCTTATAGGAGGGTCAAATTTATACCTTCAAATAAATTACAGCATCTGAACCGACTCCTTCCATTGAGTAGAGTTTAAGGTCACCTTGAAAATATCTGGCATAAAGACGAGAAATTGGCAAGCCATAGCCAAATCCAGCCTACAAAAATATGAAAATAGAAGGAAAAATATGACGGAAAGTTTAAAAAATGCAACACATTACTGTAATTGCTTATAAAACTGAAGACAAAGATATCTACTTATTAGATTTGCCTCCAATTACCCTCCAAACTTTCCTTTACTCCTCCGCCTGCACCCTAAGATAGTATTCAGCCTTTTGAGTCATCTAGTTTTGTCTTGGATGAAATTTTTTAGCTTAAACATAGAAGAGGGAAAAATAAACACCACAAAAAAAAACAAACCTTTTTTTTTTTTAAGGAATAATTTGGTCATTTTTCATTTTCCCCAAGGAGGCAAGTAGTTGCCACACACAGTACACGCAGTCTCTCAATCAAAGCAAGCTGATACTTTCTATGGCTTCCTCATGATGATTACCATTGCTGTAATATTTCATTTTTTCTTTGCTGGTATCAAGTTCCTGAGAGCACATTTTCCCCCCCAGTCCTGGGATTATTATTCTCAAAAGTCTCTACACTTAGGAGAACATACAAGAAAACAAGAAACAATAGCTTACTTCATCTAGGTCAGGCTACTATTTGAGTGATTGGCAATGCCATACTGCAAAGGAGTTCAGAAGACTACTGCAGAGAAAATTGACTTTGTTATCAATATGTAAAGCAATATTAAGCAAACAATCTTGGCTATTGCTTAGTCATCTAACAAAAGTCAGGATTCCACAGCACAGTGAATGATCTATTGAAGATTAAAAGCCTGTACAGACCGCACTATTTGTCAAAGCGCAAAAGACTTGACAGCTACAGATTTTAGATTTTAAAATACTGTTATGCATAACCATAGCTGCCAACAAGTCAAGGCTTCACACTTTTTCCAACCCTCTTGGGAGACAAAGTTATCATAACAAAAATAAAATAAAAAGCAAGCACCTCTCACTGCAGCCGGCAAGTAAGATTTTCATCTACAAACCCTCTCTTTCAGACAAGTGGGTATTTGCTGAGAACCACTGTTTGATTATCCACTCGAATCAAACTCCCTGAACGATTCAGGACTGTCCAGAGCAATAAAGGAGGGCTTCCGAACATACAAGCATTTGAAAGTAAGGGTATGTAGGGCAACGGAGTAATAAAACTTTTCCGTAAGGATAGATTACGGAAAGAATTAGGCACTTAAAGCTTTCAGAAAAAACAATGAACTCATTCCAATATAATATTTCTATAAAGAAAAACGGAAAAGATACTGGGAGGGGCAAGGGTTCAGACAGAGTAAATGATTTTAGTGGAACTGATTCAACACTTGACTTCCCAGCAAGAATCAGGCACTGAATCTTAAAAACCAAACCCCATAGTGATCTACAAAATACTGCTAAGAACAAGGATGCGTGAGCATTACACACAGTTAATATGTGGTGTCACTTCATAAGTAACAAACCTATCCAAAACCCCTTGGAGGGGGAAAGGGGATATTAAACAACTTTGTACTACAATATCCATCACAAATTTTGTCACCTACAATCTGCACAGTATCTTTTGTCCTCCTTCCTTGTTTTTACAGAAGGCTAAATTTAGTGCTCTCAGATTGATTAGAGTTGCTCACACTGATGACTGTAATGGTTCATCAGAGCAAAAGGAGAAACAGAAATGGCAAGCATAATTGGAAACCGTTTGCCTTTTTGTACTCACACTGCTTGTTACCGTTATTAGTGTCCATTGCCACAGTCAAAACAGCTACTTAGATGCACTCTTGCAAAAAACAGCATACTCAAAAACTTAATTCTCCAAGACACTCATTCCAGTCACAGGCATCACTTTCACACATCTCTTTTCAAGACCAGATGTACCTCTTTGTGAATCTCTAAAGAGGGGAAGGTATCGTGACTGTCTTAGAAAGAACTTCTACAAAAAGGTTCCAAACACTTACTTGCTGCAAACGGGACAACAAATATTCTACTGAAATTACAAGTACACTAACTGCAAGGCAAATTGTAGCTAGTACATACCACCCAGGAAATGCTCAAGTTAAGGGCTATATCAAGCAAATCTTAAAACATGTTACACTTCCCTCTCCCCAGAATTATACTTCCTTAACAGACATTAATGAAATATACAGAAATTATAGACATATAAAGAAATTATGTCCAACTTTCATTTGCTTCCTTCTCCTATCTTTCTTCCAGGAGAATCTTTTTACAAACCATACTGGCCCACATAATTATTTTCCTCTTCCTCTTCCACACATTTCCCATCAGTTCCTTCTCTACATTGTCTTCAGGGTATTTCCCAAACCAGGTAATTGTTAGGAAATGCAAAGACAACAGATCTCAGATATAAGTACCTCATTAAGGTAAGATCTCTATTTTGCAAAATACAAGAAAATTAACACAAACTGATTACTAACGTAGGTCCATGCTTGATCCAGCGTACAGAATACAATCAATGACTGCACAACTGCCTTGAGAAGAGAAAGCTTTTTAGTGCCAATTTCTCATTTAATATTATAGTATGTATTATACAAAGGGGAAATTATGAAATGTGTTTGTTACTGGTGTTGACACATTTACTTAGACCTTAAACAACATTTCTCCCATTATAAGCAAACGCTTTCAACACAGACAGAATTGTTGAATTTCCCCCCTCATCCCCCCAAATCTAATTATCATTAAACATTACCACGTGCCTCTAATGATTCCATCGTGCATATAATGCTACAGATGAACCCGAGACCTGCTGGAATCTGAATGCTGCCATGGTAACAAAGTTTCTCAGCTGATTTTAAAAAATTTGCACTAATACTGAAAAATAATTTTCATCAATCACAGATCCCTCTCTTCCCAACCTCTAAGTCAATGAATGTTTCATAAACTAGAGAGGGGATCCTATAACAAGGGGAGGGAGTTAGAACAGGAAAATAAGTCTTTTTACACTGCACGACAGTTTAGTAAACAAACATATCTAAGTCAAGATACCTACCTATCTTCTAGAGCACTGTAATTCTTTCAAGTGTTTTGGTCTTTAGTACTGAGCAATTAAGAAGCCTTCCTTCTTTATGGACTTTAAAGATGATTCATTTATATGAAATCGTCCTGATGAAGGATTTTTATTTCTGGACTAACATACAAAGAATAGCATAATTGTTTTTATAACTGGATCTGGCCCATAGTATGTGTCAGGGCTCACTGTGAAAGTCCCTTTTGCTCTTAGCGGAAAAATATGCCATAAACTCCCAGTTCTTGTTTTTCTTTTCCCTTCTGAACGCACATGTATAACAACAGAGCTTAACAACTCTTCTCAACATTCAGCGACCTACAGGCAGCAGAAAGTTTTAAAAGAGGCAGAAGCTGTCACGTTCACAAGAGAGGGGATACTTTATAGGTCTGACTACAAAGACATATGGGCTGAAGAGGAAAATGAAGCCTGAAGACAGGGTAGGTTAGAAGAAAACTACATATAAATGCCACAGAATCAAAGTAAGCAGTCTTAAAGATTACAAAATAAACAGAGGAATACACTGCTAAAGGAAAGCAAAGGAAAAAACAAAAAAAAAACACCCAGAACAATCTTAACTGAAGACATTTTACAATCAGAGTGCCACAAAGGCAGAGACATTCTAACAGTGAACGTTACTGGTAATCAAGATACAAGGTTTTTTTTTTTTTTTTTTCCCTCCACCAAGAAATAATAACTTTCAGGAAACCTTTGTAAGCTGATAAAGGAAACTGCTGGCCAAAAGTGAGGTAGAATAAAGGCAGATTATGAATCAAGAAAGATTCTACTATTCCTGACCTGAAGAACAAACTTTGTATTTGAATTAACGACTGTTCCACACCACTCATCCCATGCAAGATGATGTTCTATGAAAAAGGCACAGTATTGCCTGAAATACTCGTTACTAACGTTTTGTGGAATTAGGAAGTTAGAAGGATTAATGTCAGGTCAGTGGGTTTCACACCTACTGCAGCGTCAAACACTGGTGAAAATAATGCAATACGCTTACACTCCACACTGCCAAAACTGTGGACTAATATAGTACCATAAAGACTCTCTGCTAAAAATGTAAAAGGAAACTGTTTTTACTCTGTACCACTTTGAGAAGATTTCAAGCTTAAATTCACTTTCAGGTATTTTATATCAGAAATAGTCATATACTCTGCACTACATTTTATTAGCTGCCTGAAGTCTCTTCATCCACAGAACTATCAGAAAAGAAGATCACATAAGAACATATCACATAAGAATGTATTTAAACACGGAGAGCAAATTGCTTAAAGAATGCACTTTTTCTTGGCATGCCTGAAGATAAGGGATCGGATCACAAGCAATACAGAGTAAAGATGAGAGAAAAGCAAGAACACAGTATCACTACTGATTCACTTACTGAATGACAGACAAATGGAACAGTTTATACACACAAAGTGGAACAAGTTTATATCACCGTTAACACAAAGACTCAATAGATAAAGCTTAATAAAACAAACCCACCACCAAAACCCCCATACTTGCTAAAAAAATCAGAGTATACAATGCTGAAGCAGTTCCTTACTTAGAGGAAGCTATGATGAGGCTTTTTTGTTTTCTAGGTCTGACACATCTCAAAAGGGAGTATCATGTGAGATACCTCCAACTGAACAGGAATACATCAAATGTGATCCTATCACACATGCGTTTGGGGATTTTTTTTTTAAAATATGTTTACACACCATCTATAAAAGTCATTTTCAAAGTTTAGTATAGATGCATGTATTATCAGGAAGTGTCTCTCAACTGCTGTAATACTTACAGTGCGGTTCACCTCTTCAATAAATATTTAATCTAGTAAACTTAGGTAAACAGTAACTTACACACCAAGTAGCAGCTCATTAGGTTATTCACCTTTTCAGTAACAAAGCACTAAGAAATCCTGTCCATCAACCTGTGAAAATGTTGTTCTTATGAAGATGAGCTTCCTTCCAAGAATATGATGTCCATGACAAAGAAAAGCAATTCTCTACTCCAAAGACTAAGAGGCGATAGCAGACTGCATTTTCCCCTGATATGTTATACCTGTACAAAGTTACTAACAATAGCAATTTCTTCAATGGAAAAACTGATCCAGTTGGTTGCAGTGAAAGGAAAGGCATGACTAGAGTAGTGTCAAGGGATACTTAAATATGTATTACAGTCGCTTACCAAAGGCACAGCTCTCGTTGGCTCCAAACTAGGCCTGGGTGCTGTAGAGTACATGTAGTTAAACAACCTGTCTATTTTTCTTAAAGGTACGCCTCCACCTTGATCACTTATCTAGGAAACGAAAAGTTAAAGTGCTAAACATCATGTTCTGAAAAAAACAGTGCAAAACACAAGAAGCATTATCTAAATGACTTAAGAAAAATTCACGAATATGAAATAAATGCCAGAATACACACAGTACTTAACTTTGGAATAATGACTTGTAATATGAAAAGGCATTAACAGGTTCACAAGTTGTATAAGAACTTATTTTTAGGCATTTACCTTAATAGATAGATCTTCTTTCCCCAAAGTGACTAAGGTTTTGATTGATGGATAGCCTTCTCTCTTACCTTCATGCAGTTCCACTGTAGCTCTCATTGAGTTCTGAAGATAAAAGAAGAAAACAGCGTCTTGGATTCTGATAAATGTAGCTTCTGACGTTACCATATATACTTTTTGTGACAACTTACAACTTGCATATGTTTTGTGGACTCTAGATGCCTTGTCCTACATTTCTATGCAAGATAGAAAAGGCCACATTTAAAACAAATTGAAGGAGCGCTTTCAGGCAAATCAGCTGCCCAATTAGACTTTTACATCAGAACTCTATCATACATACTCTTCTCTACTTGACAGAAAGCCAGAGAACATAAAGCAGGAAAAAATTTTCTCCTTGCGAAATCCAGCAATTATTAAATAAGACAACATCCTTGCCCTCCACCTTCCAGAACACCAATACTGATGCTCACCACAGAGCAATAGCTTTTATTTTATTGATCTGAGTCACAAAACCGTTACGTTACAGTCCATTATTCTGACTGTATTCTTTTTAATTAAGTTTCCACTGCCAGTCCATCACAGATGTAACATTACTTACAGCTACAATTTAATTTTCATACAGTTTCGTGACTTGTACCAAAGCACACCTACAATCAGTCTTCAAATCCTCTTCTCTGGCCTAGAGCTAACTTTACAAATAACAAGGCAGGGGATGACTAAAATCAATGTCCTCAACAGATGTCAAAAATCAACACCAAAATATATTATTTACGAGAAGATTCTCTCTGACCAAATACATTGTTTTTTCTTGGATTGCTAGTAGGTTCAATTGCACCACCTAGAGACCACCTGTCTTATTCCAAAAACATGCCATTCCTGCAACAGCTCTCCCACGTTCCATTTTCACTGTTGTTCAAACAACTCAGAAAGCAAACAAAAACAGAACAAAACATACCATTTACATTGTTCAACAGACACAGACTGCTTTCACCATAAACAGAAGACACTGATCCTACCCAGTCCTCAAACTGGCAATAAAGCAGCAAGCTGGTGAAAATTATAAGGCTTTATAATGTATCATCACTGCCAAATTAGATTGTTTATACTTGCTTTAAATTGATCAGCTGCAAAAGTGCAAAAGGAGAAATTGGAAAAAACACAGAAACATTTCTAAAGTATACAAGGGCATCATCATACAGGGTCCTGTGCCTAGCTTTCACTACAATTTCAAACAATCTTCACTGGGTTAAGACTACGCTTAAAGAAAGGAAATCTGAAAGAACACTTAAGAGGAACCAAAAAGAATTTTAATTACAACTGTAATGTAAGTTCACCAACCCTTTCCAAATATTAAAAAGTGCTACCTACCTTGAATAATTCAAATAGCATATGAAACAGATGAGATGGTACATAGACTACTTGAATGGGCTTGTTTGGAGCTTTAGCTATAAAAAAAAAAAAAAAAAAGACACCAAACAATCCCTTGCAGTAATTCTATTTACAGCAACAGTATGAAACTATAGACAATTACGTCTAATTTTCCAAGCGTAAAACATGCTGCATGAAGTGAAAACACAAATTTCAGTTACAGGCATCACCTGAAATGACACATTCTGATGATGATTTTTAAAGTCATCCATGTGAGCAGACTGTGTTTAGATATGAAACATCACTAAGCAGTGGTTAGTACTGACAGTGTTATTTATGATACTTTAAAAATTATTAACTCTATCTAGTGTTTATTTTTTTAAAAACACATGCAATACTTAAGCATAACACAGACTGGACAAAAAACGGTTCTTAAACTAAAAAAATTGTTTAAATATTCTAAAAGCAAATGCACACATTATTTTCCCTTAAGGAAAGCATGCAAAATGAAAGGCATTTTTATAAATCTTCAAAACATATTTCAAAAAGTATCATCATTCCCTTCTTCCAAATCATAACTGAGTTGTTCTTGTCCACTGCTGACCTTCTTATCAACATTTCAGTAGCGTGTGGCATAACTCTGCGTACTAGAGAGTTAATACATTCAGCAGTTACATTTAATACATTCAGTGACAGTTTTGGTGCTGAAGATGCTGTCGTCCCTGAACATTCAAATTTCCACTAGCATTAAGTTATACAGTCATAGCTCGTCAGACTCAGCAGCAGTTCCACACTGAAGAAACTCTAAAGTCTCTAAATTTCTGCTTCCTAACCTGCAGGAGGGTAAAAATATGCCCGCAGAAAGGGGCCAGACTATTTCATTTCGTTGGCCCCAAGGGCTGAAAATCCCAGTTATTACTTTAAGAGACACACAGAGGGTATATAAAAACTCTTGTAATTTCTCTAAGATCTGGTGAAAACTCCTAGAAATAGATGATCAAAACAATGTTCTGTGTAATTATTTGCACAGCAACCTGCTGTTTTACTGATTTTGTCCAACATACTGATTTTGTACTGATTTTTGCTTATGCATCAACAAGTCCACAGCAGTACACAATATACATGCCTCTTCTGTAATGACAAGGACTGATCTGTACTCATTTGAGGAGCACAGTACATGCAGAAAATAGGTTATTTTCAGTCTTGTGAGGTAATCGGAAAAGTTCCTTTCCTCATGTTGATATTTAGTAAGTATGACGGAAACAAGTTATCCTTCCCCTCCTCTCCTTTTTTGATGAGATCGTGATCCTTCATCATCTTGGGACGATGAAATTTGCTCCACCATTGGATCTTTGGGCCTTGTCTTCAAATGAATCCTGTACTGAACGCTCTGCTGCATCACTTAGTACCTTGTGATAATCTAACCCTAATATCAAGCAGTTGGTTTTGAGTGGAGGGAAGGCTGAGTTTTTTGATTTTGGGAGAGGGAGGTGGTAGTAATGCACCAACATTGGCAAAAGAAGTATTCCTACAATGGTGAATTCTGCTTTGAGCTACGTGTGTTCCCATATATCATTCCTTCTATTTAGAATTTATTTTCAATTTCTGAGACTTTTGTAATCCTTTTCCTTTTTCTGCTGAAGTCTGGAAACCTTGTGTTTGGACAGTTGCCCAAAGTTTGTGAGAATCACTTACGATAATTTATTTTGTAACTTAAATAAATAAATAAAATCTACTTTTACTATTTCATCAGTACAAATGGGGAACAAAATGATCAGTCAACAGACTGGCAACAACTAACTCATCAGTTTGGTATCATCCAATTTTCTTCTTGACAATCAACTAGAAAAAGATTTTCATGTGAAAAGTTTATGTATAAGACTCCATGCATAGACTATGGGGGCGGAGGGGAAGACTGTTCCACATTTGCCGCCTCGCGCAGAAGAGCTAACCGTCTTGACCCACGGACTAAGAGTGGAATTTATAAGCATATTTCAAAATGAAACATAGTTCAGGCCTATTAAAAGATTAGTAGAAGGCAAGCCTGTTTCTTTTCCAGTAAGTAGAATTCTGAACCACCTTCAAGTGAGAGTCAATTCAGCAGATGGCACTCTGAATGCAGCATCATGAATTAAGTAAACACGCCAGTGATAAACGAAGATTCAGGTGCCCATGTAGATAAAGTATGAGAGGAGGAAAAGGAACCCTGCACAGAGGACTGCAGGGTTTCAATTAGAACTTACAATTAAACAAACAAAGCTGGAAAACATGTGAGAAGTGTTTTTTTCTGAAATATATCACTTCAGAATTAAATGAATTTCACAATTACCATTGAATTCTTCAACTTCCAGATCTGGTGCAACCAGATAGTACTGCTCACATAACATCTTAGCTGTTTCATAAGCATCTAAAAAACACGAGAACAGAACACTGAACGATGAAAATCAGTTAAGACAGACTAGCAACATTTATCCTGCATCTGAAAGGCCACAAGCAGAACACTCATTTTGGCATTGGTTTACAAACGTGAAACTGGTATCAATTTTAATCCTTTTTTATCTGTATGGTCATAGCCCATTGTCAAGAACGGGCATATTCTTTTTAAAGCTTTATGAACAAAAGCAGATTACTGGAGACAAGCTATTTTTGTCTTTGCTCAGGGCTGGAAAACCAGACAAGGGAACTAATAATAGGTTAACCATAATATCTGCTTATTTATTATGTCCCAATCACAATTTAGTATTTGTACCTCCCATTTCAAATATAAGAGGATGAGAAAGGACGATATGGACAATCACAAGTTCAATTTTTCCAAATATCATGTGTTTATGATACTTTGTTTTTAAAGTTTTTTTGGGGAGAAAAGCTGAAATTTTTTTTTTTTTTAAGATTCTTCATTCTTTCCCACCGAACCAAAAAAAAAAAAACCCAGTCCAAATCAAGCATTATCTATTGTTGAGGTACAGCAAGTTCAAGCTGTGCTCTTGTCTGAATGACTTCTGAATGATTCTTAATATTCACTCTCTCCTTTGCAAAAACATTTCAGAAAAAAAGCAGCAGTTTTTAGCTCAATGAGGAGAAGCTACAGACTCAAACCCGTTCCAGCTATGCTGCTTAAGCTACCTTAATGAAAGTGGTTCAAGCAACTGAATTTTTCCTCACAGTTATGGGTTAAAAGCAAGCACATTAACAGATGTGGCAGTTCTGCAGACTAGCAGTAATTTGCTAAGGTATCGCAACAATTTCAGTTGAACACCACCTATATATATATCTCTTTTCTCCTGTCCAAAGTGACACTACAAAATAAAACAGTCACTGCTAAGAGTCACAGCTATGTGACAGGCACAAGGACAGTAAATTCACTGGCACCCAGAAAGGACTGGTTATTTGCCTATAACTGTTCTCCTTCAAGATGTGTTGCCTACAGACATATCTATGAATATGTCCTGTTATATGGAAAACTTTCTACCGGTTGTTCTGACATCTGCAAGGCTGGACATATTACACAAGGCTGTCAGAGACGCTGCTTGAACTCTAGTAACACGGAACTAATCAACACTGGGAATGTTCTCATAGAGACTCTCTAGAGAGTCTCATAAAATCAGCTATCCAGGAGGAATTCCTTTTGTCAAGACGGTTAACTCCAAAAACCTCCTAAAAGGGCCCCGTCATTAGCACTACAAAACATGCCCTAGGGAAAAGATCAAAACCCCATTTAACATCAAAGCTACGTGGAGAACCTCACCCTGGAGTAAACATAACTGGGCATGGAGGCAAGATGCTGGAATATCTACACTTATGCAGCACTCTCAGATCACCTCAGAACTTCTAATGGCCTTGGGAGTGATCATCTGCTTTAGAAAAAAGGGGCATAAGGAACACAGCCACAAGCTTGACTCAGTCATCAGAAGCTGAAGATGGTAATGTAGCAATTACAACCATTAAGGCCATCCACATGGAGAAAGGAATATGCTAGCATATTTCAAAGAGTTTCCACATCACAGAAGTGGAAATCAGATGTGGATCCATCCAGGGGGCAGAAGTTGGATTCCTTATGGTGGAAGCCTCAAAGCTTCTGAAAAGCCTATCAGTGATAGGCTAGGAATAAACCAAAAGCCCTCCATATATGGATGTAGAGCAAACACAGCCACTACATGAACCTGAGAGAACAAAGGCACTCTGAATAAACATGTACATATTCAACTTGGGGAGGCTAAACCTCTTTCAAGAGGTAGCCACCCTAAAGCCTTTCCTCTTGAGATGAACAGGAAAGCCCCTCATGATCCACCTCTGGGCAAAAAGTGTTTTTGCCCAGACGCAAAAAAAGAGCGCAAAGCCAACTCTAAAAGTCAACTCTGTCTTTGGCAAAGGCCTAAGACTGTAAAAGAGACTAGTGTCAAAAGGCTCAAAGCATTCCTCATGTTGCGGCAGGAGGTAAACAGCAAGAGAGTGCATGGTGTCAGTACATCTAAAACTCAGTTCCAGGAACAAGCCTGGAGCTGCTCTAAGGACAAAAATAAGCTTATTGCAGGACAGTCAGTGAGAGATCTAGAGACCCACCTCAGGCAGCTAGAGAGAATCCTTAGTAGAGTTGCCTTGAAGTGAAGCTCTTTTAAACCATTTCTTTCACCCTTGAAGGGCATACAGAACTCGTTGCTACTACACAGACGTCAACTTTGGCACTATAAAGTCTGACAAATTGCTCCGAGTGTCACCTGTGCACCAGAACATTTTGGAATGCAAATTAACCCTTCCATCAACTCTAAAAGGAAATGACCCTAATTGCCTTGACTAGATAAGCTCTGTCTTTAAGGTCATTTCATTTCTTTGAAAGGTAACACTGGACACACTGTTCATGATGCCCTCATCTGTTAACAGATATTTCTATAGATGCAGATCTCTTTCAGCTATTGGCTTAAGAAACGGACTGAGCACCTTCTGACACTATGCACTCCTCTGTAAGGTAGATGGAAATTATGAATTTGATGATGAAAATGAATTCAAACATTGCTATTGGAAGGAATATTAACATAAACAACAAATCTGCAGCAGGTTTGAAAAAAGCCAAAGGGCTGGAAACTAAGAAGTCCCAATAATAGCAAAAAGCGTCTACACTACAAAATAAGCTATCATGCAGGTCAAATTCTGCCATAAGAGTGTTCGCTCTTGCTTTACCAAAAGCTGAGAGAAAGCAAGGAGGAGAAAAATTTTTTCCCCTCTCGTAACTGCACAAACAGCAGCGAAGGCTAGAGTGCGATTCACTCCTACAGTAAGAGCTATTTGTAGATAGATATACCTAGAACGTGAATCTTCAAACGAGTTCTTGAAGGGGACAACATTGCCTCATGCACATCTACTAACACTCTGTAAGCATATGAACATTCATAACATTAAGTAAGCAGTTTTCAAATGAGCAGGTGTCAGATTATTCAGATACATACATGTCTTCTGTACCGAGAACAGATTGGGATATATTCAGATGCACACAGTCAGGCTACATAATGAAATGTGGTGTTTCATTAAAATATCCATACACCTGAGGACATTTAATAACTCGGGCCTTTAAGGAAAATCAGAAAATTGCCTTTATTCTTAATTTTCTTTAGTACCAATATTAAATAAAAAAGCAGTACCTGAGAACTTGCCCCAAGTATTCTGGAGGAGAAAACACTTAAGATTTAACAAAACATTAAAATACTTAGTCTGATACTTAAGGAGGACAGATTAAAGTTATAAAAAATTAATTTGTCTTCCCAGTTCTGTTAGTACACTGTTAAGTTTCAACCTTCTCAATTATGAGATTAGAAAATCTCAATAAACTCATGAGCTTATTTGAAAGTGACGGAAGATCTTTCATTTATTCTTTTCTTCAGTTTACTAAGTGGACATAAATTTTCAGTCTTTCATATCTGAATAATAAGTGTATGAATATTCTAAGTTCGGGGGGGGGAAGAGTCAATCAACAAAAATATAAGCTTGATCTCCTTACCTTTAACCACTTCAGCCACATTACAATTAGGATCAATACTTCCAATATGTTTGGGATGAGCAGGATTAATGTCTCCTCCAAAAAGAAGTGCTAAAAGGAAAAAGAAACGGCAATAAATTGCCTATTACACTTGAAGCAGTGCAGAAGACTTAAATCAGGTGACATATGAAACTTACTGGATAGTACATCATTTTGTAAAAAGATATTCTTCCAAACTCCCAAAATCCTTGTTTTAGGAAGACTGGTTACCTCCTTCCTCTTCTCCCTCCCATTATAGCTAAAACTAGTTAATATAGAAAAAGAGGTGTGGGAGGGTTAAGGGGAAAATCTCCATTTCAAACTGGACTACCAAATTAGATACAACTAAGTTGTAACATGCTTCATTCATATCATTATGTCAGAACAGGAGCAGATGTAATAATGGAAGTGTCAATAAAAAGGACTGAGGAACTGTAAGACAGCATTAAAAGCCTTTTACACTCACCTAAGCTGCAATTTCACAGTCGGCAGAGAGGTCTCTCTCTCAGGTTCCTCCCTGACTCTCAGCAGCACATTCCCCACTCCCTCCTTTGCACAAACTCTGGCACTCACCAGACCCTTCACTGACCCAGCTTAACTCTTAAAAAAGCAGAAATATTTTATACTTTTTTTGCAGGGGTGACTTTCTCCTGTTTTAGCACATTAGTCAACGCTGATAAAGAAACAGATGCAGCAGGAGATAAGTAAACAGCAAGATGGAAGATTTTCCTATTCCAGTGATGGCAAGCTAATGCACTGGCCCACTGCACTTCGTAGAATTGCACCATAAGAAACAAGTTGGTCCATAATGAATCAACCAGAATTACAAAGTACATAAAAGCCTGTTTCCAAACTCCGCCTTCCAATTGCTTTTTCTCTTGTCAGTGTTTCAAGATTAATATTTGCCATCACGGATAAATCGCTATGGTTGGTTAGCATAGAGAAGTTCTACTAGTTCAACTGAACTTTAAGCATCTGTCAGCTGGTCTAAGTTTCAAACAGTTACATACATGAGAATGTCCACAGGGAAAGCAGTTTCCGTGTAGTGAAGTACATTTAATATTTTAGAACCAATGCAAATAATGTTCATACTTGGTCTAGAACTTCTGCCAGGATGTAGCTTTGACTTACTGTTAGCATTCTTCTAAGAGGGTCTTTTGACTTGACTTGTTTTGTTTGTCATTTGTCTACCCAGATATAAGTAAAGCAAGAAGCATGTTTATCTCACCTCTTATGTTTTGCCGCATGCAAGTTATTTGTAGACACATAATATGGCATTTGCTGATCACAGAAAAGGTTATTAGAAAGGCATATAGCTTACAGGAAAATACATTACACTATTCCAGTTTTGTTCCCTATTATCCGTAGCGCACCTCTATTTCTAAGGGCTCATAAAAGCAGAATACCAGGCAGTGAATGAAGCTCTAGAGCTAAAGGTAAAAGACGCGCTATAAGAGATGACAATATTGACCTTAACTTTGTGCAGATCACTTTCTACATAGTGGCACTGTCTAGTTATTAGGAGCTGTGCAAGTAACTCCTTTCCCTCTGTAATACGAATGTATATTAAAAAAAGTAAATTTATTAGTAACAATACCAAGCAATGAAATAGAACCTAATGACAAAGGATGACTAATTTTAGCATTTATTCATAAAATGGCAGTGGGAAGTAGAGGGATATAAAGGTGATAATTCAAAACTTAAGTTAGAAATACTCAACTCAGTCAACTCCTTTAGAAGGCAAGAAAAAAAGCCCAGATAAGTTGCTGAAAAATAAACAGTAAAAATACATATAGCGTACAATCTCTTCAAAATCTTTGGCAACCTTGGGTTTGAGGATGAAACAAACGTCAACTTGACAAACAATGCTGACAGATCCGTGAGTAGAAAGATATAGCTGCTCTACCACTACCTAAAAATAGTTCATGCGTTACTATGCAAGGCGTCTCTGCCAAAGAGATTAAAAAGTGACAGCCACACTGACAAAGCCTGACAATTCTGGAAGAAGTTCTGTTGTTTTGAATTCATTTCTGATAACTGAAAAAAAGTACAAAAATAACTAGTTGCCACTATATCCTTTAGCATTATTAGTACAGAATAATAAGAGTTAGTCATGAGTATGAAAAATACCAAAACAAAGCTGTATCTTCAGGTTTACAGGCGATAACTAATGAGGATCTCAAAGATGAAAAAAGCAATTACTTACTGTGTTGGTTAATAAGCATACGGAAAGAGATGCGGTTGGTGTAGAATCTATCTAGAAAATACTGGATGTTACTGCTAACAAATGGATCAAAGCCATATTTTTCCTTGTATTCAATCACCCCTTGCGCCATGGTGGGAACCACATCATTGTGTCTGTTCCTGACTTTAATTAAAACATCTAAAAAGCTAAAGGAAACAAAATTAGAAACAAAATGTTAAGAGTATAATTAATCTCAACTTCTGTTTTCAACTCCTCACAGTATAAGCATTTTATCTGTTATTTACTATCCCTCCCAATCAACATAAAATTATCAAAAGGAGAAGTCAAAATAAAGCAGTACCTAAAAAAGACTACTTAAAGAGAAATTGAATATCAACCTCTCACGAGGGTGACACATTTAGGGCTTCAAATTCAATTCTTCTTCCCCAAAATATTCCTTTAAATTAAATTTTTCTTCACTATCAACTCAGAACAAGCGATTTGCTTTTTTATATGCACCCTAGTAACTCTCATATCCTTAGCATCCAACAGTGGCTGGCAGACCAGAGATACAACCCAGAGAAAACAGTCTGATTACCTTTCACAATCTCCTGAGAGGTTTTACACTCCATACTTCCCTCTAAACCCCTAACCACCTACAGTTAAATTTTAGAATGTATTTCCTTTACCTGGCCTCTACTCTGGTAAGTTTAAACCCCAAGATAGGTAATTATCTGTGTGACTTGTGTTCAGTTTCCTTTTACACCACTGGATGGCAGAACTCATACAACAGTGCCTTTTTTGTTTTCTTTTCTTTTCCTAAGGGCTCTTCCCTGCAGTAGGTCCAAAAGTTTTAGGATATAACTTCCGTGGCTTTTAACAGCACCTATTTTGAAATAGCTTGGAGAATTCTTGTTTTTCCTGTCAAGGCAGCGCAACACTTATGATCTTCAAAGTGCTCATCCTTTCTTTTCACGTGCAAACTCACACACACTTTAAACAGCATTTTAATAGCCCTTGAAAGCCTAGACGTGGAAAATCAGCACTACTCAACTCTGCTACGTTCTCCAATATTAACCGATTATGAACACCATAATGATTACATGATCTTCTTAAAAAAATACACACAGAATAAAATGTAGATTTCAAAAGAAAGTAAAATTTGTTAGCCTATGCCTAGATCTGCAAATCTACAGATCTCTAAAAAAAAAAAACTGCAAAACATTCTCAGCAGATATATAATGAACACAGAAAATATGATAATGTACTATTTTATTAGAGGTACAATATACAACAATTAAGGAAAGCACATTAAGACCAAAGTAAAAGATTACCAATTTGTCACCGGATTTAAAGCTGATCCTTCCTTCCTTTTCACAACCTGTTGTCCTAGGTGACTGTTTGAAAGTAAAACATACCACTCTTAACAAGTGATATGCTTTTAAAATGATTTCTCCCACTCTAAGTTGCCAGCTGCAGAGGAATGTAGGATTCATCTTTAGGATTCATCTTTAACAGCTTTTCTGCCATCCTCTGTCGAATCACCAGTTTTTGCAAGTGTATTAACAAACAACTCATTAGTCTTGCAAAACTGCATTTCATTGCATACAAAAGGGGAAGTCTTAACTGCCTAATTTCCCACTCTGCGGATGTTCACAGTACAGAAAGACTGTTCTTACCTACTTACCAATCTTGCTGACAGGACACGTTAAACTATTTCAATGCTTAAAAGGTTTGCAGACTTCTTTATGAAGTCTTGATTCTGTGTGGTCTGTGACCAACCAAATCAAAGAGTTAAATGATAAGGACACAGATTTCAACAGTTCACTTTTCTCCGTTTCACAGCTGAGACTGGCAAAACAATTTTAGTTGCAGAAGACACAGTAGTATAAAATCTTGTTTTCCCTGCTATTAATGGTTTTTAATATGTCATGTCAATGACCATGCTGGTTTAAAAATTAATTCCTCAAAACAAACCTTTTATTCTATAGTACCAGAGGTCAAGATACACTGGTATGTTCAACCCAGGGAGACTTTCGTCTGCCCCTACGTCCCAGCTGGGGCATTTACCCACTTCCCTCAACTGGAAGGTTTACAGCCTCACTGGAGCCAGTAGCGTTAGCTTTCCAGACAAGACTAGTGCCTAGCTGTATTCAAGCTTTTTCTCTGTTTCAGAGCAAAGAGATTAACTTAAAACAGAGCTGAGAAGCAATATCAACAATCAAAATATCTAAAACCCAATAACTAATAGCCCTGTCTACTGATTTATTTGCTGGCAGCTTTCCTTTTTGTTTTTAAGTAGTCCCACTATCTACAATATACGCATTACTGTGCTTACGCGTTCCAAGAGGGCAAGCTCTTCTCTGATATCCCACTACCAAAACGCTTCAAGGCACAAAGCATGCCAGACAAGCAAACAAAGGGCTAGGACGTTTGCCCAGCACGGAGCAGCAAACTATAGCTCAAGTTCAAACAAGTGCAAATACACACAGTAAAGGAATTCTTCATTATTACAGAGATATGATGGCCTCCTGCTCTGTTTTCAAAGACGACTGATTTCACTCAAACGTTTGCATGAACTAGATGCTTTTCAAGGACCAAGCATACGGAAGCATATACGCATATTGCAAAATGGTGAGGCAGGAGTCAGAACTAAATGTCTCCTTAACCTTGCCATTCCTTTCCCCACCTCCTCCACACCCCCCCACATACCCAAAAGGCACCTGAAGCTTCTACTTGCACCCATACTGTGGGAGAAGGCATCAAAGAATTTTTAAAATGCTTTCATGGCATTGGCTAAGAAAAATCAACTGCGGGATAGTTCTGAAAATTTTATTTAACTTTCATTTTAACTTTATTTAATTTGATTTTTCAAAATGTTGTGTATTACATTTACAAAACTACAATGAATAAATAATGCAGTTTGAAAGATGAGAAAGTATTAATATGAAGCTATTTCAGCCGAATGAGCTTCAGGGGGTTCTGTATTAACAGACCAATGTTTGAGGCATTTGCATAGCTACTAAATAAACGAAGCCCACAGATTTCTGTAGAGACAATTAATGAATGTCGCAAGTTATTACCTAACTTGCTAACGACTGTATGTACTACTCTGTTTTGATCTATTGCAGTAGAAGAAAAGGAGATAAAAACATTTTTCAATATAAAAGCAGAAGGAATTTTTCTACGCCCATTTTATGGGCAGAGAGAAAAGAAGTCAGTCATGGGCAGACAGTCAAAAAACCCATTTTAAATGCAACATATCTGCAATGGGTTTTTTGTTTGTTTTGGGGTTGTGTACATAAGGTTTGGTTTGTGTTTTTTGTTTGTTTTTTAAGAAGTGCTAGCTGGTAGTTGAGCATCACCACAAAGACAAGTCCACACTCTGGAAGATTTCTCTAGTAGAAAGTGTAGTTACTTTAAAAGTAATATTAAAAAGCATTATAAAAGTACTATAAAAATAACATTGCACCTTACTTTAAAGTAATATAATGGCATCTTCTTAATCAAATCCACTCCAACACGTACTTATTTCAAACTGCTAACAGAATCACTGCTTTAATCTTAATGCTGCAGAAAGACTATTTCTTTTTCTTTACCAAGCTTCTTCTGAATATGTTATGTATATACACATTCACACTGCTACCTCTTTAGTTGCTCTCAGTTCCAGAAACCGGCCCTCCAACACACCCCCCTCCCCCAACCACCAGGAAAGAAGGTAGAAGACAGACAAACATCAGCAAAAAAAACCTCACTGGTACAAGGGGGCGGGGGTAAGCTGGTTTTGAATGTACCTGTGAACAACACATTTTACAAAACCTTCAGTTTTTGAAAAACAGTTTCTTCCTTTGTGTGCATTGACACCACGGGAAATTCCAAACACCCCCGTCAGCTTACACACACTACCAAACGTCAGCACCTTATCTTAACAGTTCTGCAATCACGCAGCCGGACAGAACTGTGGAAAGCTTTCCACCTGACTACTCTACAGCTCAAGGAAAAATATTCGTGCTATCAGAAATGCAGAGTTTTTTGAGCTTTTGCCATACGCCCACATGACTGACAGCAACACTGACCTGACAACCGTGTAGCAGCAGAACCACCATAATAAAGAAACCAAAGCACCTCTAAACCTCTGCATCACAGAAATACTGTGACAGGAAGTCCCTTTAAAGGATTCTGTCCAATGTACATGAAAAGGCAAAATTCAGGAATGTACACATATCTTCAAATTCACGTACTGAGAGTTGACATAAATTGAGCTAGCTTGACAAGCAATTTTTCAGCATCAGCATTAGTTTAGTCTCTGCTGACATCTGCTCATCCCCTCCACCGTGCTGGCACCACTGCCTTTGTAAGCCATGTGGTGCAGTAGATCATGGACGAATATGACTGTTTTTCAGCTAAATCAATTTCCCAATTCACTTCACTGCACGGCTTCACAGACAGCTATGTCAGTACATGGACAACATCCATAATCCCAGGACACTGATATGTAAAGTGGTGTCCTCAAGAAGACCACCTTGAATTCTTAGAATATCTGAACAGGTTGCCCAGACAAGCAGACATGTGGCAGAAATAGTCAGAGGACATGTTTATATATACACCACAAAAGAGGGTGTAAAGAGGATCTCTAACAAGAAACAAGCAATGCAAGCAGAGAAAGGCAGAGAAACAGAACGCTCCAGCTCTTGGGAAGCCATGCCTGAGCTCTGAGCATCCAACCTGGCCTGGTTCCAGGCTCAGTGCTCAGCCAAAGAGACAACCCAGGCCCTGTCTTCAAAGACAGCTGGAAAACTTTCAGAGCTCTTTAAGAAGGGTTAGAGTTGACCAAGGAATTCAAAATTCCCCAGTCTGCCGCTAAACAAAACAACAAAACCATAAAAAACACCTTTGCCGTGACAAAAAGAAAGTTTTCCATAGCTGTTGGCAGGGGCTTGAGGCAGCTAAGTATCTGCACTGGAAAGATTCATACTAACAACAATAATCACATCATCAAGTGACTAACACTGGAAAACTGGCACATAACAGGACTACAAGACATCTATCTCTGAATATCCGAATACAATGATATTGGTGACACTACAATATTTTCTTTGCTTCTTGGTAATCAAGGGCAATCACAGAACCAAGGCAGGGTACACCTGTGGATATCAAACCTCCTTACAAAACAGCTTGGGCTCCTTTTCTCTCTTGAGATATTGTTACCTTGACTATCAGTAAGAGAAGCTGAGGTCGACCTCAGCTGACTAGAAGATCAACAGGGTGCTCATTCCACTACCAAAAATCAACTCTAGAAGTCTTCACGTTTTTCGAGAGCCTAAAGTAGACACGGCATTCAGCTCCAACCAATAGCTCTCGGGGCAGAAGAACTTTAATCCAAGGCAGTCTCAGGTTTTCAAATACTAGTTAAGTTAAAGGAAGAACACACGAGCCCATTATGAAACACAAGTCATCTGATACCACACAGGGCACTAACAAGGATGGGCAACACTATGTCTGAAGCCCCAGGGATGGAGGTTTGGGTCTTACGGCTTTTCTTTTATCTAAAGCTAGCAGCTACAGCTCATAGCAGGAGCAAGACTCCAACTGGGAAGAACCAAGAGATGGAGCAGGCTCCAACCCCTCTTTATACATCACTATATACATGGTACACTAAGAGACACATACCACAGATACTGTTAGGATAAGAAAGTTTCTGGTTCAAAGGACTGGGCACACTTCATAGTGTAAACTTCCACATGTCCTTCTCTAAACAAACTGGCCTGGTAAAGAAAAGTACTATTCCTATTCATACATCACTAAAAACACGACCCACAAAGTTGCAGATAATGAGTCAAATTCTGTGATACATGGAATCACAAAAGAACAGAAAAGTAATATGTAAACATAACTGAACTCTTGGAACCCATTTATTTTTCCATTGATAAAAATGCTCATTAACCAGTAGAGTTACCAGTATTCCCAGTTCTCCTCCAACCACAAAGATATAAAAGCAGAACAGGGCTAAACGCCTGCAACATAGAATACTGGTAAAGCAACTGAGTAATTTTTTTGTTAGCTTTATTCTGCTGGGTTATTACAAATGAAATATGGACACAGCTGTTAAAAGTATTTTTAAAAGACTCAGTTTGCCAAGAATATTGAAATAATTGCTAATTACAGCTCAAGATCTAATTAAACAGCATAGCCTTCAGAACATTAGGAAGAGTTGACATGCAAAGAGCAGAAAAATTAGTGCGACTTTCTAATCTTAGGTAGCCTACCCAATATTGTCAATGAGAATAAATTTGATCTTTAATCAGATAAGTTGGGTTTTGTCTCTCTCTTCACGGTCAGAGTCCCTAGCCGGACTTTAGCTCAGTAGGTAGCAAAAAAGTTACCAACATCTTTATTTAATTATAAAGACATATAATACTAAAATGGTAAGGTTTCAAAGATTTTGACAATTATTCTGAATGAGTAAATATTTGGTACATTATACTAATTTAGAGCATCTCAAACAAAATTTCATATTACAGTAAAACAATATCAAGAATGCCCACTGTCCATATGACAAAGTCAGGTAATACATCTGGTAATTATGAACAGATTCCAAAAACAGGTCCCCAAATTGCTCAACTTTCTAAAATATCAAGCATTCTTAAAAAAATCAAATATTTTGATCTGCCTTAAACCTCTGAAGTCCACAAAAAGCTGAAATTCAGTTACCTAAATACAGAACATAAACGTTACTAGAAGCTTCATAACCACCTCGTCTCAAGCTACAATTTCAAAACATTCATAAGACCTGTGTTACATTTGCCAAGCTCATTTAGGCGTCTAAGGCAGCTTATGCTTTCTCAAAGGGTAAAAGACATCAAGTTTTGGTAACTTAATCCCACTCAAAACGTTCTTTTAAGTCAAACGGTAGGAAATCTTATTGCTAAACTAGTTGCAAACAGAAATTCTTATCCCATCAGCAAACTCAAGCTGTAAATACAGAATCACAGAAAGTAACAGCTAGAAATGGTGAAAGAGATCGTCTAATTTATCCACTATTGAATAAGCATGCCCTCTTAATGCTTATTAATAAGCATTAAGCATCACGAGAAGATGTCTAATCTATTCTCGGAAGCTTTTAATGCAGGATGCTCTACAGCCTTCTGACACTCTCTTTCAATTTGTTCTCACTAATCTTAGAATTCGTACTTTTTGCCCTGTATACGTTCTCAACTTTAATAAAAAATATCAGCTATTTTATCATTCTTTTTTTCTTTATGTAGAGTAACTGATCGTGCTTTATTACAGTGTATTTTCTCCATACTCGCAGACTGCCAGGGTCCCTCCAATCTCTTCTTTGCCAGTCTGAACAAATCCCTTTGACTTTTCTCAGAGGTGGAATTCTCCACACCTCTAATTCTTGATCCTTTTCCCTTGATACTGTCCACTTGTATTTTAATTCTTTAATAGGTAGCACCCAGAACTGCACGCCAGCTCAGGACTCGCACTGAAAAAATAGTTACTTTTCACTTGTTCAGTAACACTACAGTTGACTCATTCAGCCTAAATTCTTGTGTATCTTTCTGCAGTTCTGCCACCCAGCTAATCTGGCATCTCTGGCACTCGACTTTCTCCTGAATGCACTTTTCACTTAAAAAATAAAGTGAAAAGATCTCAGAGAATACTCCTACAGCCAAAAGAGTACACAGCCTCAAAATAGACTACCTAAAGAAACCTATACTAAAGTTAACATAACATGCCAGCTAATGAATCTAAAGCTAACACTGTTTTTCAGTTACATTAAACTAAGCTGATAAAGACAAAATACCATTTTTGCACAATACAGGCCACATCTTGCACAGAGCGTTTATTGGACTGCAGAACATTTCTATGAACATTACTATAAAAAAATGCCTGTTTTGTCAGACAGTGTTTCCAGAGCATTCCAGTTCAAAAGATAAGTTGCCCTATGAAAACTAAGCAACAGAACAAAAACATCTGCAAGAACTACTCTCCTGAAACGAAGTTGACAGCTGTATGGCAGAAGGTAAGTATAGGCCCTGTATTTTTATTTGGCTGTTACTCCCTGATAGATGCATATATGTATGTATATATACACACACACACACACACATACACACAGAGAGTAGTGCACCTATCTTCACTTAAACATTCTTTCGAATCTGCTTTCTCTGTATAAATTTCAGAGAAACATTCTGACGGCAATTTTATAAAGAGTTGTTGATAAAGAAAATTTGTTAAGCTTTCCTTTCGTCTCAAAACATAAGCAATCTTATTCAATGAGGTAGCTGAACGTCAGTAAGTAAAATCTATGAAAAAAGGTTTTAGATAAAAAATTGATACATTCAGCGCTTTCAATTTAAAATTTCATAGTATTAATATGGCAATATACATTACATACAATGAGGTACTGAGTTCAATAAATACTATAATGACATTCTAGTAGTAAGTATTTGCTATATGAGTATATTCTTGCAGGCACGTTGTCTTTTTAATATAGCCTCAGAGGAAGCATTGCATTCAATTTCTTAATTTATTAGATTATATATATGCAACACATCGTTTAAATACACTTTGACTTTCCATACTCAGCTCTAATTTACAATTTTGGTCTTCACTGCATGAATTCTACCTTGCAAGCAAGATCACTGTTACGCTATGGTACCAAAAACAAAACAAAAAAACCATACCACCATTTTTGAAATAGATTATTATTTGAAAATAAACTGTCATAGGAAAACAAATTACTCACTCATCCAAAACATGAGGATCCTCAGGACTTTTATTTTCATATTCTAAAAGCTCAAGAAAACTCTGCATGTACCTGAAATGATGATACAGAAAGAGTTAAAATTAAAATACTTAACTCTAAATTACTTTTGAAATTTTTTTTTAAACATTAATACTACAACTTAATCTGAAACAACAAAAGCACAGTACACAGTTCTCTGCAACGGCTAAAATGAGATGGGACACTAACAAAGGGGGGGAAAAAAAGCAACTACAGTATATTATATTGAGTCAAAAAACAGTATGTGTGACTCTACACTCCACACTTCAGGAAAACTGCTTTTCAAATCAATCTGAAGTTAACAGCAGCATTCTTCCTCTTCAGTGAGGTCTGTAATTTCAGGCAACTTAGTTCATCCCTGGATCCTGATTTCCTGGTTATCCATTTTAAATAAATGTTAGTTTGCTCCTACATTCTTCACAGAGTGGATCTAGCTCTCCTTCCAAAAAATCCTCAGGCAGAGTTCCGAAGCAAGTGCACTCCAGGAACACCCCCAAGTAGTAGTGTGGACAAGGTTTTATCCAGCTGGTCCTAAAAGAGTATCCCAAAAAACTAGGCACCTTCAGACGCTCCCTATCTCCTCACACTGTACGTCACTCAGGGCATACAACACTACCTTCGATTTTGTAAAAACACTGCTCTAAGGCAGCACAGCTTCTTTAGTTCAGATACTCTGCACATGTAAAACAGTAACTGAGGCTCAGGGCCACAGAGGTACAACGCAGGACCCAAAGGAGACCTAGGGCAAAGCACTACTTCACATGGACTCAGCCAGCCTGTTCTGGAGAAAGAGGGCCCAGCACTAGTATAAACGTCACTGCTGCACACCACTTGGCCCGTAGGCCAGGTATCACTCCCTAAAGCAGGCACATTTGGCAGCAGAGATGTAGCTTTAATGATTACAGAATTTGGCCCCATTTCTTGAAGTACCTCACACAAAGTATCAGCCACAAGCATAAAACCAAAGGTAGGGAGGGTTTCAACACTGAGAAGGAGGAGATGCAATTCCTCTCCTTTTTGCCCTCCCTTTGCTCCTGGTTAAGCACCACCACTTACACTAGGGCAAGAGTAACGCTCACCAACTCTTTGTGTAAACACCCCTAAGTTACTATCGTGGCATAACAGTCAGCCAGATGGATAGGTTTTTTTGTTGTGGTGGTAGCGCATTAGAAGAACTCATAGAAAGGCCTGACCGTGGCTAAAGCTACCACGAGAGAGATCACCCAGCCCACGTGAGGAAAAAGAGAAACTAAGCAACCAAGACTTTTCCCTTTCAGTAGCAGCAACCCACTAATCGGCTCAAGTACCTACAGAATTGCCCCCAGGCACTGTCGTGGGCAATTTCACAACTAAATTTTACAACTAAACCTGTTCCAGTAGCAGCTCTATGTTACGATTGGCTTAAGCAGGCTATGAAACATCCTCCTATGTTTTTACGTTAAAGCGAAGCTGAAGACAGCACTGCTGCCCACATGACTCCCTCTAGAACCACATGCTGCCACTCCACCTCCCCATTTCAGTTCCAGCCACTGCAGGACAACAAGATGAACCTGATTGGCATGCTGAAAAATATTTTTCCTTTTGGGGGGCTGGTTAGTTTTGATGTGGGTCAGTAGCTGATCTTATCTCAACTGTCAGACTCAAAACAAAGGAAGCAGTGGAAGCACATGGCTGAAGGCAGAGAGTGAGCAGGACTCCTTCTCACCAGCAGTGCACTTCCTATACCTACCATGTACCTACCCTACACCTATACCTACCGCCATCCAACTTAAGTAGGATGCCTCAGTTTAGTCACAATGACAGGGTATCACAGATGATGAAAGGAACAGGTTTCCCTGAACAGCACACAGTTCTTCCAAAGTGAGCATCACTGTACAAAGCCAAGCATTAAAAGGAATCTAGTAGGACATAGTAACTTCGACCCATTACAAAGCCAACTTCACCAACCTACCGTACTTTGAAAGGAGATCCATGTCACAGATATTCCCAAAAGAATCCCACAAACTTTTGGGAGGTTTTAACCACATCTCTCCACATCCACATGGGAAACTACAATTTATGTAAGTAAGCAAGAAGCAGAAAATACTTTAGGAGACGTGCTAACAAATTGTTAAGAAACTCTTTAGTAGTGAAGTGCCCCAAGATTTGAAGTCAGGTATGAAATGGAGCCAAAATGCTTAAGCACTGCCAGGACCATTACTCTGTATCAGCACTGCTGAAGCCAAGGGAAGGAAAGAACATGAAACGGAGGTGGTCTCAACTGTAAGTGATGAAGAAAGGGACTTAAGACAGGAAACAGAACTGAGACCCGTTCTGCAAACGTTGAAAACTGGACATCACCTAATTCTTCTAGCACAGCACAGGTCCTCTTTGAAAATCCACTTACACACAGTGACTACTGTGTTGCAGGAACCTGTACACAGGGGACAAGAAGTGCTGTGCGGACAACAAGGCTATCAGGCAGAAGAGTACTAGGAAAAGCTTGTCCCTAGAAATAATGTAAAACTTCTGGAATAGTCCAGAATGACTCCAGTGGAGATGAGCCTTCCCTAGGCAAGAGAAAAATCCTCAGATTTTTCCAGACAGATCAACACTTTCAACAGGGTCAGCACGGTAACATTAGCTTCTGTCCTTCTCTTTCGGTCCTACTGCAACTGTTGCAAATGCCTACAGAAATGCTCCAAGGGTTGTTTGTCAGTTACAAATTTGGTAAGTTGCTCATGTCTCCAGCACTGCATTATTTTAAAGCCTAGCCTCTTGCAAAGCTAAAAGACTAGCAACAGTTTAGAACAACCATTACACTATCTTTCCATGAACTCAAGAAATTGTCTAGGGTCACTTCAGGGAACAGGCAGTGATTTAGAGGAGCCATAGCCTACTATCCACCACATACCTGTTCCTGAAAAGTGCAACATTTAGCTATTTGAAAGATAAAGGATTCTCTTTGGAAGGACTGCTTCATTAATAGAAAGGAGAAGGCAGGCAGGGACTTCAGAAATGCACACAATTTAACTGTACAGGGACAGTATATATGATGTGGAAGATGGAGAGGCAGGGGCAGAATCAATTTGGCAGCTCGCTTTGCAAACAAGGGAATGAAAATGAATCTCCTTTGAGAATGAGTCCTTGCATGCACACCCCTTTTAATTCTCAAGGGAAAAAAACTGCTTCACTCTCTAAACTCAGCTGCTTCATCTGTGAGACTGAACACTCAATATAAATCTTTTAGCGTGAGCATTCTCACTCCTTGTTTTGAAGAGCTACGTTTTCTTCAACACCGTTATCCTCACATGAATCGAGGTCAGTCAAGTCAAACAAGGGTAAAGGATGGAAAAAAGGCATAACGATGACAATTAGCAAAGCACAGTATTAAGCAATCGGCAGTGGAAATCTAAAATGAAAGATGGAAGAAGTGGTGGATGAGAGGGTGCTGCTGTGACACTTTAAGGCCACAGTTCGGCTCTGCAGAAACAAACGTTTCAGAAGATGATTTTGATTTCTTGCCAGACCAGGCGACCTAACGCAGAAGGAATGCTTAAGACTCATTGCTGTGCCCAATCTTGCTGCAGCCAGAGAGGGACAAACATTGCACTTCCACAGCCTCTAGTGAATTTATGACTCTCAGCAATGAGTTTTCACTACCTCCTTCACTGTTTCTTCAATAAACAACTCTTTCTTACCCAAGACCCTGTCAGTAAAATGAATTTGAGGAAAGAATAAGTCATCCAATCCATATTTGCCTCAAAGACAGAACTGACTTTCCGGACTTTTTCTGGGTAGCCAGAGAAAAGGGTATCATTCATGGAGCGTCCTCTCCTTGCAAATACAGTCAGGAACGAAAAAAGCCACATAAACTTGACACAGTCCAGAAATTCAACACTGTCAGGTTTGACTAGTTTCTTCACACTGTGGGCTGTAATATATCAAACAAGAAATCTAAACTCTCCAGGGCTATAACCTTCCTTTGTAGTTAAATAAATATTTGCTGTCTTAAGTTTGTTTCTTAAATTTGTTTCTGTGTGTTACAAAGGAAAACGGGCAACATACTTATTTGATTCTAAAGAGAAAAGCAATCTACCCAGCAAATAGGTGCCTGATTTCTGGGGAGCAGTCTTATTCTGTTCCTCAAATACAGGCAGATCTCTTGGCGCTTAATGACTGTGTCTACATCAGCATTTCAATTTCCAAATCAAAACTAGCAGCATGGTTTCAAAAGGAATCTCCCAAATAATCTCCACTTAATATTAAAATCCCCACATTTCGATGAGATTTGCCGAGTTGTTTTAGCACTACAAATCTGGATCTTTCAGAAGAACAAATGACAATGGAAGCTTCTGTGGATCAAAACGCTGTGAGGCTCTCTAGCACAGGCAGGGCACAACGCATGCCGGGAGGAACCTCTTGAACTGCCACAAGTTTCCTCCACACTGTAAAGTGCATCTCATGTTATATAAAGGGCCAAATGCTGTATATGTCACCAAGTTTGTCTGTCACTACCCCTCCATTCTTTATGCTCCTTCTTCATCCTTTCAGAACTTTCTCCTAGTTTGAAATCTTTTCCCTTCCAGCTTTAATTTCTGTTGCCATCCTCCCTGCTTCATGGAAGCTTTTCTCTTCCTTGTCCTTTCTTTATTTCCTTCCACACACCTTCTACACATTAGTCCACTCTTCTAATGTCATCTTCACAATGGCAACAACAGCCCTTTTAGCCCCCTAGAACATTTAAGGGTTGCAACTCGGTCGCAATTTCCAAGGAAACTCAATTTCCAAGGAAATTCAGAAATCTGTGCCATGAGAGAATTGACTACTTCTCCAGTCACAGGTAAGTCAGAGGACATTATCAGGAGGCTGCTGACCCCTGACTGTCATCAAACAGAAACATGAAACTCTTGTTTCTGAAGGTCCAGGAAAACCACTACACTTAAAGCAACACAGCAGATGCTTTTTACTAGTAACGTCCTACTAGAGATCTTGGAACACTGGTAATCCAGTGCTCATCTGAGGATAACGCAGCAATGAATATTCCTGGTACT